TGGGCTGCGGCCGCGCCCCGGGGCGATCGCGGCTGGGACCCCGCGCCTCCGCCCGGGCCGCGGACGTGGCCGCGGGAGCAGGGAGACCCCACCCGGACTGCTCGGGTTACCGCCCCTGTCCCGCCCCGCCCAGTACGCGCCAAGCCTCGACGTCCGCGAAGCCGCCTCTGGATCCAGCCGGGAGGGAAACTGAGGCCCGAGCGGGGGGACACCTGCCTAAGCCACGGAGTCAGGCTGTCTGCGGACCCAGACCACCGCCTGGAGTTCTCTTTGTCCCCTGGTCCCCCTCTGCCTGCCCAGCCCACTTCTCCCACAGAGCCAAGTCCCCAAGCCCGGCCCTTCTCGCCCCGGAGCCTCCTAAGGGCGGGCTGCATAGGAGGGTCGAGAGGCCCGACCGAGCTTCCCTGGCCACCCGACAGGGCCCCTGGGGCCAGCCAGATCTCTGCCTCTGGGATTACCCATCTCTGTCTCTACACCCGCCCCTGCCGTCGGCCTGCAACCGTGTCTGTCCACGGGTAGGCCTGCACTGAGCGTTGCGGGAATGCACAACCGAACTGAACGCAGGAGCCTGGACTTTCCCAAAGGCCCTGGAAGCCCAGCATCGGCCTGTGAACTCACCGACTCCACCTCAGAGCCTTTGTCCTTGTGGTTCCTGCAGCCTAGAAGCTCTTCCTTCTCACCACCAACCCCCAGCTCTACTCCTCAGGGCTCCTTTACATCACTTGGGTCTCAGCTCAGATGTCCCCTCACTGCCCATGTGATGTAAAGTTGCCCACCCTGAAGCCTCCATCACATCCCTGGCTATATTTCATTACAGGACTAACCACTATAAAAACTGCCCTACACCCATGCCTTGATGTCCTGGTTATTATCTGCCTCCCCCACTACATTTTGTTCAGTTACTAGTATAAACCATCATAAATGTGTTCGACCGTAATCAGCAGTGTGGAAAAAACTGAGCAGGCTAAGGGCGATTGGGAACTGTGAAGATGGGGAGGTTGCAGTTTTAAGAACGGTCAGGGTGGATCTCACTGAGAAGGTGACATTTAACGAATACTTGAAGGACGTGAGGGATCCAGTCATACCAATATCCGCAGAAAGAGCACTGCAGTTAAGACAGAACAGCTAGTACAATGGCCCTGAAACCAGCTGTGTTTGAGAAACTGCTAGCAGGCCAGTGTGGCTGAGAGGCCATGAGGAGAGGAGAGTGTAGGTGACAGAGGCAGATGTGGGGTGGGGCTCTGTAAATGTGTGAGGGCCGTTCCTCTAGACTAAGATGAGCAGCCATCGCAGGGTTCTGAGTGAGCTGAGCGATGTTTTCAAGGATTTCTCTGGCTGCTGTGAAGAAAATAAATGTATGTGAGAGCAGGAGACCATTGAGGAGGCTGCTGCAAGATGTGACAACGGTGACGAGAGCAGTGAGAGGTGGAAGGTCGAGAGTGCAGCATTTGCCGAGGGATTCCATGTGGGGGGCGTGAGTAAGAGGAGGCGAGGACTTCTCCAAGGTTTTGGCTAGAGCACCTGGAGGGAGAGTTGCTCTTACCTGAGATGTGGAAGGTGACAGGTGTGCCACTTGGGGCCCGTTCTGTTTGAGATGCCCAGTGGCCATCCAAGTGAAGGTGCCCAGAATAAAGTGTTTGGCACCTGGTGGTTGCTCAATAAATACTTGAATGCATGAGAGAAGGAACCTGCAGAAAGCCTGGGTGAGCAGACCCTTGAGTGTGCAGTGGGAGAGGAGAGACTCCTGCTTTTGCAAGACCTGTGTCCTCAGCCTGCTTTGCTTTCTCCCACCCATAATTCCGTAGTGA